TAGCGGTGCCACGGAAGATTACGCCACTTCGATGCGGGAGTCTGGCGGCAGCGGCGGAGGCTCGTGGATGGCCTTCCCCACGAGGCTGGAACATTGTCTAACGGATCAGGAATTCGTCACCAGCACCCGTCTGCTGATGCATGTGGACGTGCACTTGCGACAGCATGGTCTCGAGCTGCACTGCGCGCGCAAGGGGGGTACGCGGGCTGCCAAGTTTGCAACCAAGTGGTGGGCACCATCGACGGGGGTGGCCATCCAAATCTGCCCCCCCCACGGGATGCCAGTAGTGGCATGCAGTTGCCGCGCCCGCAACGGCAGGATGGCCGAGCTTCGGCCATCGATGCGGTCCAGGTTCTTCGGATGCCTAGCGATGCCCTCGTTGTGAGGGCGGGCTGCAGGAGGGCCCCCTGGAGGCAGGGGCGGGCATCCTAGCTCTGGGCTCTAAGATGTGGTTGCCAACGCCTGTCGCTCGACAGGGGTGGTCATCCAAACCCGAACTGGCCCCCCACAGGGCACCAGTGCTGACAGGGTTGGCCGTGCAAGCCAGAGTTGGCGCCCACTGAGTACTACGAATGTTATCAAGTTGCCGCGCCCGCGACGGCAGGACAGACAGTTTTGGGTATTCTAAGCGGGTCTGGCCCCTCGAATGCCCAGCTGTGCCTGTGCTGCCAGGGTCGGGCGTCGAGCCTGCCATAAGAAGCTGGCATCCCGCTGATGAGCTCGACTTGTGATGGCAATGCCTGTCTATCGATAGTAAGGGATGGCCATCCAAAACCAATCTGGCCCCCGCGGGATGCCAAGAGTGGCATGCAGTTGCCACGCCCGCCGCGGCCGGGGGGCCGAGCTTCGGCCATCCTTGCGGACCAGACTCGCTGGTCTCTCAGGTGGGCCGTCGTTGCGAGGGCAGGATGCCAAAGCTTGCCTGGGAACAGGGCTGGCAATCCAAGCTGCGGGCTCGAGATTGTGGATGCCAGCTCCTGTCCAACGACAGGGCTGACCATTAAAACTTAAGCTGGCTTACCAAGAAGTATTGCAACCAGTACTGGTCATCTACAGGGCCCTCCCTGAGCTTGCCGCGACCGCAACTGCAGGATGGCCGAGCTTCGGCCGTCCACGCGGACCAGTCACCTCGCATGCCTTGCATGTCCATGCTTGCTGCGGGCCCGAGGTGGTTGATGCCAACCCAGTCATTCTACAGGAGTGGCCATTCCAGTACTGGCTTTGTTGCCGCGCCCGCAACGGCAGCAAGGCGGATTTCCGGCCACTTATGCGGACCAGTGTCCTACGTCACTGTCGCCCTGCCGTTCCCTGGAAAAGAGGTTACGCAAGGGTGCTCGTCGAGTTCCAAGAACTCTTAGTGGCGCCTCAGGAGGAAGAGGAGGAGGAGGAGGAGGAGGAGGAGGAGGAGGAGTACGGGGAGGGGGAGGGGGAGGGGGGGGAAGAGGGAAGAGGAGGAGGAGGATGAGGAGAAGAGGATGAGGAGGAGGAGGAGGAACAGCAGCAGCAGCAGCAGCAGCAGAGGCAGAGCAGCAGGAGCAGGAGCAGGAGCAGGAGCAGGAGCAGGAACAGGAGGTGGAAGAGGAAGATGAATAATAAGAATGATGCAAATAATCCGAATAATCGCAATACTGATAAGAAGAAGAGGAAGAAGAAGAGAAAGAGGAAAACAAGTAATAATATAAAGAGTCGTAATAATAATCATAATAATGATAATCATAATAAGAATGAGAGGAAAAAGCTCCAGAGGACGACGAACAGGAATAACAATAATAAGAATACTAATAATAATAATAAAAGCAAAAGGAATAATCATAATCAGAGTGAGGGGCTGAACCGAACGGTCATTCACTGTCCCTGGGCGCGTGGCTGAAGTGAAATTCCGCGATGCGGATTCTCGTTGTTGTTGTTTTTTGTTGTTTGTTGTTTGTTGTTGTCGTCGTCCAACCCGCGGCCCGCCCCGCGACCCACCCGCGACCCACCCCGCGACCCACCCGCGACCCAACCGCGACCCACACCGCGACCCACCCGCGACCCACCCCGCGACCCACCCGCGACCCACCCGCGACCCACCTGCGACCCACCTCGCGACCCACCCGCGACCCACCCCGCGACCCGCCCCGGCGACCCACCCGCGACCCACCCGCGACCCACCCGCGACCCGCCCGCGACCCACCCTGCGACCCACCCAATATGTTCGGCGCATGCGGCGGGTTTTTTTTGCATTCGTTCCAGGTGGGGAACCTGCGGCCCACCCGCGACCCAAACCGCGCCCGCGACCCACCCGCGACCCACCGCGACCCACCCGCGACCCACCCGCGAACCACCCCGCGACCCACCCCGCGACCCACCCAAATTTTTCGACGCCTGCGGCGTTTTTTTTTGTGCAGTCGTTCCAGGTGGAGAACGCGCGACCCACCCGCGACCCAAACCGCGTTCAGTGTACAAATCAAAATTTTCAGCGCCTGCGGCGGGCTGTTTTTGAATTTCCTCCAGGTGGAGGTGGAGAGCCCGCGATCCACCCGCAACCCAAACTACGTTCACTGAACAAGCCAAAACTTCGGCACTTGCGGCGGGTTTGTTGCGCATTTCGTCCCAGGTGAAGAACCTGCGACCCAAATCGCGTTTAGTGTACAAATCAAAATTGTCGGCGCCTGCGGCGGGCTGTTTTTGCACCTGTTCCGGGTGGCACCCTTCGCGTCCTGTTAGGAGGAGGAGGAGGAGGAGGAGCAGGAGGAGGAGGAGGAGGAGGAGGAAGGCCCCATCGACAGGGAACGTGAGGGCTACGAGGTCCGCCGGCTCGACGCCCGCGTCGCCCGCTCCCGCCCCCTCACTCTTACCCGCAATTGCGGGGTGCTACGTAAGAAGAAGAAGAAAAACATATGACAGATAATAACAATCATAAGAGGAGGAAGAGGAAGAGGAGGAGCAGATGGAGGAGGATGAGGAGGAGGAGAAGGAGGAGACGAGTCATGAAGAGGCCCTGGCGGAGGTGTTTTCCTTAGTATTTTCTGCCTCTGGGGGCCCCCGTGCCGGGCCTCGGGGCTGGCAGCAAAACTACGATTCGGGATGAGAGGCTGGCCCTGGGAAAAGTAGGTCGAGACCCTCATGGGGTTGTGGACGACGATCAATGTCTAAGCCTGTCTTAATTAAGCATGTTAAAACAGGTCTCATGTTTAAAAAACATGTTGAACACATGTTCATTTCCGTGATAGCCTTGTTAGTCTACTACACGTGTTCAACTCCGTGATAGGATTGTTAGTCTGTCCATGGTTATGGCATCCACAACTCTTGGGGTCGGCGTTATGAGCAGGTCATGGCCGACCTCCCCGCGTCATGACAGAAACACGACGGGAGGCTGCTGACAAGTGCTAAGTCGGGAGTGTCCCTGCACAGGAGGAATATTCAAAAATATGCAAAAGATAATCTGGGGACGGTTTTTCTTTTATTTTTTTGAAGGGAACATGCCCGACCTAAGGCAAGTGTCCAACTCCAGAGGCCCTGCTGGGTCCCAGGGCCCTCCGAAGAGGCTGCTCGGGATGAGGAGCCGGGTCTCCCGGAAGGGACCCCGCCTTCTGGAAAGCGTCGTCGTGAAGAATTTCACGACGTTGGACGTCCAGATTCGTGTCGTGTCGACGCAGCGGCGACCCAAGCGCGGGCGTTCACGGTTGAACGCGGTCAGTGGCCTGGAGTCGGCCGATACAGAACAATCTGCTCCGTGGGTCGGGGAAGCGTAGGACTCGAGTGCGCAGGAACTCGGGCTTGCCGACGCGTTTTGACGAGCGCAGTTCCTGGACTCTGACGGTGCGGATCCCGTGAGATGTCTGCGGCGGGAGGCTCGCGTCAAATTTCAGATCGGGTCTCGTCATTTTCTCGACGGCCTCGTCAGGCCAACCCGAGTCCCCCGTGCCCTCGGGGGCAACGAGGGTCCCGATAGCCCCAACCTGCCCAGGCAGGTGCGGATTCACTGTCGGATGCCTATCGCTGATCAATCGGCGATGTACCGCCGATTCCGTGTCGATGTATCCCCCCCTATGCCAGTCCCCCCCTATCGTTGCCCCTCATGTCCGAGTCTTGCGTCTCCCCGAGTGGAAGAGCCGCGGTCGCCGAGCGTCCCACGGCCCACGCGGGGTCAGGAGCCGGCGCCCACGTCGCGCCACGAACTTGCCGCACCTACAGGATCTAGATGTTTCAGTCGGGCCTGTCCCTCTACAGGCGGAATATGCAAAAAAAAAAAAACATAAAAAATAGTCTCTGGACCATATTTTGGGTTGTTTGATTGATTTTTTGGGGAGTACGTTTATTTAATCGCTTCGTTCATTCCGCCGGCCCCCATCGAGCGCTCTTTGGGGCCTCTGGGGGGCCTCTTTGCGGCCTCTTGGTTGGTGTGGGGGGAACTTGAGCTGTTCTTGGGGCTTCCTGGGGGGTGCTTAGCCCCGATGGTTCGAAATGATGTTTCGTGATCCGCCCCTGGAGCTTCTCTGGAGGCGTTCTTGGGGCTCTCTTGGGCCGTCTTGGAGGCGTCTTGGGGTGTCTTGGAGCCCTCTTGGGCCGTCTTGGGGCACTCTTGGGAGCCGCTGGCGGCCTCATGGGGCGGTTTTGGGGGCGTCTCGGATTCGGATTGTCTTGGAGCGTCGGAAAGCCGGAAAGGCGGAAACTCCTCATTCTGCCCAAAACGTATAGAAAAGCAATGAATCGTGCCTCTTGGGGCTCTCTTGGGAGGGCTATTGGAGGCCACTTGGGGCGTCTGGGCGCGCCTCTTTGGGAGGCTTGTGAATGTCTTTGGACTCCCGTCGTGGGCCTCTTGGCGATATGTCCGGGACCTCCTGGGGCCTCTCTGGGGCCTCTTGGGGGCTTCAGGGCGGCCTCTTGGGGGTCTCTTGGGGCCTCTTGGGAGTTTCTTGGGGGCGTCTTGGGGCATCCTGAAGACCTCTCGGGGCCGAGAGCTCGAAATCTCCGTTCGGGTCCCCCGTCTGGGCCCGCCCTTGGGGATGTTTTGGGGGCCTCTTGGGCCATCTTGAAGGCCTCTGGGGCTATCTTGGAGCTCGCTGGAGCCGTTTGGGGGCCCTCTTGGAGTCCTCTTGGGCCGTGTTGGGGGGATCTTGGGGGCCTCTTGGGCCGTTTAGAAGCGCCGGTAAGCCAATAAGGCGGAGAAGCCAACATCATGAGAAAACCAACGGAAAATCATCAATGTTTGCCCCTGGAGGCTCTCTTGGGAGGGTTCTTGGAGGCCTCTCGGGGCGTCTAGGCGCCATCTTGGACGTCTTGGAGCGATCTTGTGGCATCTCGGACCCGTCGTCTATTGTCTAGGGGGCCTCTTGAAGGCCTCTGGGCCCTTCTTGGGGCTGTCTGGAGCGCCTCGAGGGCGGCGCCCAGACGGAAAACCATCTCTGGCCCGAAAGTCCCGGGACCGTCCCGGGGTACTTTTCGTCGGGGGACCCCTAGGGGCAGCCCCGCGTGCGCGAAGTAGAAATATTGTTAACCAGTTACCGGAGATCTTAGTACGCCGCTGGCCCGTTGGGCCATCGGTTTTTCATCCAAAATCCGATTGTAGGGGGACATGATGCCCGACCTAAATCTAGATTTAAGTCGGGCAGGTACCTCTGCAGGAGGAATTATCAAAATAGTTTAAACAAATCGTCTGGGGACGATTTGTCACTACTTCTGACTCGTTTTGAGCATGTGTTGAATATGTTTTCCTTCCAAAATCCGCCTGCAGGAGGACAGGCCCGACCTAAGCCTAGGACCTAGGTCTTTCCCAGATTTGGGCGTTTGCAGGCCGGGTGACGCCCGGGGGCCGTCAGTAATCGATCCGCAGGGAGGGACAAATTCTTCACGCTTCGCGTATCCCCACCAGCCCATCTCAAAACAGCAACTCTTGCGAAGCATGCCGACAGTCGTGTTTTTCAGGCGTGTTTCCGCCTGCCCCCGCATATCTCCCCTGTTCCTCCTTCCTCCCGCCTCCTTGTACATCCTCCTTGTGGTGGGAGCGGGAGAAGGACGAGGCGGAGGAGGAGGGAGAGAAAGCGCTCCTCGTGGTTTGAGTCGTTTGGGGTTTCTCGTCCTGGTGTGAGTCGTTCGGGCCCTTCTTCGTGGTGTGAGTCGTTCGGGCTCTTCGTGGTGTGAGTCGTTCGGGCTCTTCGTCCTGGTGTGAGTCGTTCTGGCTTCTCGTGGTGTGAGTTGTTCGGGCCCCTCGTCTCCAAAATCCGCCTGCAGGAGGACAGGCCCGACCTAAGCCTAGGACCTAGGTCTTTCCCAGATTTGGGCGTTTGCAGGCCGGGTGACGCCCGGGGGCCGTCAGTAATCGATCCGCAGGGAGGGACAAATTGGCCCGGAGGGGCCTGGGGAGGGCCGGCGGCGAGATCCGAACCCTTCGGGCCGGACGAAAGGGGGGGATTGGGCAAGGGGGGGTTACGAAATCTGCTGCATGCAGCTGGTCTCGGCCCCACCGAGGGGCCCATTCCTCGATACATAGTCGCCTCCGGCGCCGGGAGGCGCCGGGAAAATCAGCTACGTAAGCTGATTCTCAAACCCCCCCTTTGCTATCCCCCCCTTTCGCCCGACCCGAACCCTGCCCACACCGTTCCAACGATTCAGGCAGCTCGAGGGGCGGCGGGGGTAGGGCTCGGCACTCGTCGAGCACGTGGCGGAGCCCGAGCCCTGCCCCCCGTCTCCCATCAATTCTGGAGCATCGATGGTTGGTGGGGGTAGGGTTCGACTTCCGCCACCTATCAGGCGATCGCAAACATGGCTCAAGGGGGTGCGGATTAGCGACGAGTCCCGTTTCCGAAGGAAAATCACGGATTTCCGCCTCCGAACGAGGCGGCACCGGCCGCATTTTGGGGAGGGTCCCTCCCCCGATCCATGGATTTGGCGGCCGCGCGCCAAATCCATTGATCGCTAATCCATGTTTGCGCGTCCCCGAACCTAGAGGGGCCCAGGGGCGCGACTTTGAGGGGGCTTCACCGAAGGACGCGAGGGCGAGCGCGCGCGCGGGAGCGCCGCCCCGCGGCGCTCCGACGGCGCGAGCGCCGCCCCGCCGCGGCGCTCCGACGGCGCTGGCAGCAGCTTCTTCGGCGAGGGCGCTCGCGGGAGCGCCGCCGTGCAGGAGGTTCGGGGCTCAAGAGACGGGGGCTGTAAGCAAACGGCTCAAAGATGAAGAGCTCTTCGCTCGTGTTAAGTCGGGCATGTCCCTCTACAGGAGGGATATTCCTAAAATAGTAAGAACTAATCAGGTGACGATTTTTTGATTATTCCCTACCTAGGCTCTGCCTAGAGGGTTCTTACTTTGTTTGCTTAAATGGGCGGGCAGTGGAAAACGCCCCGGGCGGTTCCCCCCAGTCCCCGCCCCGCGGTTCCCCCAGGTACGTCCCCTTAGCTTAGCGTTGCTTAACTCATCTTAGCTTAGCTTCATCTTAGCTTAGCTTAGCTGTAGCTTAGCTTAGCTTAGCTTAGCTTAGCCTATCTCATATTAGCTTAGCTGTAGCTTAGCTGTATCTTAGCTTTAGCTTAGCGTTAGCTTAGCTTGGGCTTAGATTTAGTTCAGTGTTAGCTTAGCTTTAGATTAGATTTAGCTTAGCTTTATATTAGTTTTAGCTCAGCTTTAGCTTAGCTTTAGCTTAGCTTCAACTTAGCTTTAGCTTAGCTTTAGCTTAGCTTTACCTTAGCTGTAGCTTAGCTGTATATTACATGTAGCTCATATTTAGCTTTAGCTTTAGCTTAGCTTTAGCTTAGCTTTAGCTTAGGTTTAGCTTACCTGCAGCTTACCTGCAGCTTACCGGCAGCTTACCTGCAGCTTACCTGCAGCTTACCTGCAGCTTACCTGCAGCTTACCTGCAGCTTAGCTTTAGCTTAGCTTTAGCTTAGCTTTAGCTTAGCTTTAACTTAGCTTTAGCTTAGCTTTACTGTTACTACTAATGCTGCTTTCCTAGGGGCTCCAAGTCTAGGTAGGGTCGCACTGTGATCATTTTTTGCTATTTGGGAATATTGATTCGGCTGTTTTGCTTTTCTCACCCACAATCCGCCTGTAGGGGGACATGCCCGACCTAATGGTAGTGTGTTCCCCTTTGGGGGGGGCCTCCTGGAAGGCCTTCGTCGCCCCCGCTGCGTTCGCCTTCGGATTCTGATTAGAAGGCGCCCCAGGAGAGGTCTCGGGAGCAGCGGTGTCGGCACCTTGTGGTTTCCGCAGATCGGGGCTCAAGAGACAGTGGCCAGTGCAGACGGGGGTCAGCCAGGGCGCCGGGTCTCGCAGGACCCTGCAGAGACAGGGGTGCCTTGAACTGGGCTTGGATGCAGGATCCTGCAGGAGCCTGCAAGGCCTGAGTGACCCTGGTTTGGATGGACCCAGGTCAGAAGATCCCCGAGAGGTGGAGCTGGCGGTGGCGCCAGCGAGACAGGAAGGCGCCAGTCAAGACCCGGGCATCTCGTTCAGCGCCTCCGCGAACGAGCGCGCTGGCGACGTGCGGGCAGAGGCGGCGGAGGCCCAGCCTTCCTGGGATTGCCTGGCGCTGCACCCCAGCGTGTCGAGGATGATGCTGGTGAGCTTCCCTCTGCTCATCGCTGGGAACATCCTGCTCATGGTCGAGTCCAATTCTGGAGTTGGCACGAGCGTTCTGATTTCCATCCGGGCGAACGATGAACAGGTGGTGCGTCTTCCCAGCCTGAAGGACTTCACGCTGATGGGCAGCATCGAGGACATGTGGAACGGTGGGGCGTACCCCCTGGCAGTGCTCATCGCTTTTTTCAGCGGCGTGTGGCCCTACGTCAAGCTGCTGACGATGCTCCTCTGCTGGCTGGCGCCGACCAGCGTACTGAGCGTCCATGGCCGACAGACGGCCCTGGAGTGGCTCGACTTCTTGGGAAAGTGGTCGATGGTGGACGCGTTTGTCATGGTCCTTTTCATGGTGGCCTTTAAGTTCGACCTGTCCATCGCGGGGCAGGCTCCGCAGGTGATCAGTGACGTCTTTGACGAGTTCGGCGGGTCGGCGCGGCTGCTGGTGTACGTGCAGCCGCTCTGGGGCTTCTTCCTCTTCATCGGTGCGACGATAGGCTCCATGGTGCTGGGCCACCTGATGACTATGGTGCACCGGCGCGCCCACAAGGTCGCCGAGTTCGGGATTCGGCGAGACTCGCTGGGGAGACGCAGCCGCCTCTGCGACGTCAACAGGCCCTCGGGCCACGCGGGGCGCAACTTTGTCATCACCCCTGTTTTCTTCCTGGGCGTCTCGCTGCTGCTCGTGGTAGTCGGCCTGAACGTGAACGCCTTCCAGTTCCGGTTTCTGGGGCTCGCGGGCTTCGCGCTGGGCGAGGCGGGGTCCGTGCGCCCCTTCTCGGTGGTGTCGCTGGCGTCCGCGGTGCCGAGCGCGAACCTGCATTCCGGCGGGCCCGACATGTTTTTTATACAGTGGATTTTCTGTATCCAGCTGCCTGCGGCAGGACCCGCCTTCGTGCCAGCTCGGCGTTCTGAGTCGGCGACTGCTCGCGAAGGGGCACAGCAGGCCGCCTCGTGGCCTCTCGATGGCCTCGGGGGCCCTGTTGCGTGCCTCTTGGGGGCCCATTGGCCTGGGGCTTCTCGGGGCCTCTTGGCAGCATCTCGGGGGTTCTTGGAGGCTCCTTCGGCCGTCTGGTCGCTCTCTTGAGCTGTCTGGGGTCTTTTGGAGTCCGTCTTGGGGGGCTCTCTCTGGGTCGTCTCGGGGCCTTCTTGAGGACCTTGAGGGTCGTCTGCGGGCCACCTTGGGACGACCTGTTCCCTCGGACCGCTCTTGGGCCATCTTGGAACCGTCTCGGGGCCCTCTTCAGGCCCTCGCAGGGTGTCGTGAGACCATCTCGGAGGCGTCTTGGGTTGTCGTGAGCTCACGGACGTCCGAGAAGGTTAGGATGCGAAACTCAGTGGACAACCTAAGGGAAATCACCCAGCTGGGCCTCTTCGGGCCCGGCCGCAGATCCCCTTCGAGCCCGGTCTGGGTACAGTCAACCCGCATAGTGAGGATGGACATCTTTGCCTCCTCAGTCCATCCTTGGCCACGTTCGGTGGCCGTTCCCCGCTCGAAAAGCTTCGAAATGAGCGTCCACGGCCCTTGCATCCTTATCGCGCATCCTTACTATACGGGTTGACTCTAGCCTCGAGGGCCCCTAGCCTCGAGGGCCTCTTTCGGTGGTCCTGGTGCCATCGTGGGCAGCCTTCTTGGGGCTATATCGGGCCGTCTTGGGGGCTGGACGCCATCTCAGGAATCTTTCGGTAGCAAAGCATGCGAGCCTGGTATACCTTCTTAATTCCGCATTTAGAGGCGATTAGCGTCGATTAGCGTCTGGATTCGATGAGATGGCGCTGAGTTAGCGTCGAGTAGCGTCGATTTAGCTTCGATTTAGCGTCGACCAGCGTCGATTCGCAAGAGCCGACAAGATGGTACAGTGGAGGCCCGTGCCAAGAAACACCCTGCTTACCTCCAGGGTGCCCTGGGTTTCTTGGGTTTCGGTGTTTTTGCCACGGAACGCGTGACGTTCCCGCACCAAAAATCAATGGAAGTCCTGGTCTCAGGTTGGGTTTCTTGTGAAAGGCTTCTTGTGGACGGGCCTCCACTGTATGGGAGGCTCCCATGAGTTGCCACCGAAAAATCTCGTCCGCCGCGGAGAGAGCGCCAGAGAGGCGCTGGGTTGCCCAGGGAAAGCCTCGGGAAAGGATGGGAGCGGGGAGAGTGCACGCGGGGAAGCGTGACGAGGAGGAGGAGGAGGAGGAGGAGGAGGATGGTATGGGAAGCTTCCACGAGTTGCCACCAGATAATCTCGACCGCCACATGGAGAGCGCCAGAGAGGCGCCGCTGGGTTGCCCGGGTTAGCCTCGGGAGGAGGGTGCATGGAAGGGCGGCGAGGAGGGAGGAGGAGGAGGAGGGAGGAGGAGGAGGAGGAGGGAGGAGGAGGAGGAGGAGGAAGAGGGAGGAGGAGGAGGAGGAGGAGGAAAAGGGGGAGGAGGGATGAGCGCTCCGCGGGAGCGCGGGTCTGCGGCCGACGCGGGCGCCGGGGGCAACGCCGCTCACGGGGCCCAGGTCACACCTGCCGTGCGTGGGCCCCGACCATGCCACCGAATTCGACGAGGTCGAAGGCGCAGACGCAGCGCAGCACCCCATGCTGCCACTGTCACCCAAGCAATAGGCAGACCACCTCCATCCAACCACTTCTGTACCAGACCAGGCAGCACCACCAAAGACAAACATGCAGATGCCCTCGAACATCTTCAGAAAGCAACCGAAGTCCACGGACCCTTCGACCGCGGAAGGCACGCGCACCTGTCACCAACAGGTGGCCAGAACACCCTCACGGGTCGCTTCCGCAGGGGAATGGACGCACGAGAGGCACGCGCACCTGTCACCAACAGGTGGCCAGAACACCCTCACGGGTGGCTTCCGCAGGGGAATGGACGCACGAGAAGCAAGCGCACCCAACACCGACAGGTGGCCAGAACACCCTCACGGGTCGCTCTCGCGCGCCCTGACCCAGGGGAGGGAAGCGCAACCGTCATCAACGGCTGGCCAGAACACCCTCACGGGTCGTTCCCTTGGGTCATTGGGCTTCATTGCATGGATGGGCATCGGTGCATCAGAAGAAAGTACCCATCAACTCCACATGAAGTAGCCCAGCACCACGAAATGTAGTAACCTCCCCCAGTTGAAGGCAAGCGCAGTCGGGTCAGGATCGAATGGCCAGTCCCTGACGCCCCGCACGGCATTCCGAAAGTGTGGTGCTGCGGCCTAACCCCTCGCCGCGCTGGAGTGAGTAGTAGCCGAACTCGACGCCCTCGCGCCCAGAAGTTTTCCAGTACGAGGATGCTTCTGGTCCATGGCCCTCTTGTTCGCCGCCTCTTGCCCCGCCCTGGCACTTGGTACGTCAGATGGGCCCGGACACTGTGCGTGGAGGCCCAAGACTCTGCCACCCTGGATACAGTACCACACCGCTTGCAGATCGTCATGGGCCCGAACACACACGGCGAATGCCCAAGCCCACGGAAATTCTTGAGGGCGCTTGGCTCGGATGGCCTGGGTACCAGCTCCTCCTCGTTAGGAAGCTCGTTCGCAGGCACGAAATGTGGATTGCCTCGGGAGAAACAGTCCGCCGTCCAGCTCATCACCGTCGCCGGCAAACAGAATTTGAACCTCTCCTTGGTGCGAGGACTTCGCACTGCATGATCCGTCCCCGCCATCGCGTTCCACTTGTTTCATCGCCAGCATCTCGAGGCTCATGGGGCGGGGCCGTGCCAGCCGCCATGCTACTCGATCGCCACCGCAGGAACCTTTGCCGTCGAGACCTGCAGCTCCTCGCATTGTCCAGCTTCTGGGCCCATTTTACATGCCTCTGCGCCAGCTGTCCGAGCATCGCTATCGCATGCACAGCACTTGCAAACTTGAACTCGCAGTCGCGCACAAAGCTGTCGGAGAGAGCGACATCGTCCTGTCCCAGGCCTGCGACGAAGTCAGCCCGCTGGTTGCCAGCCCAGCCGAACAGGTCACCTCTCAGACGCCTGGTCGCACGGCAGATGAGAGCCCCGCCACAAGAAGGAGGGGGCCCGCTCGCCTCTGGTCAGATCCGCCATGTGCCGCCATAGCGCTGCATGATTGGCCCTCGCCCCCGCGCTGCTCGCCCAGTCCCTCATCGACTCCATGACCAGCGAGAGGTGGCCAGTCACCACCGTCGCAGGCACCGCAGCAACCTTCAGCGCCTGCACTTCCGCATACCTGTCCGCATATGGGGCAGACTGGTTTGGCCCAGGAACTCCTCCATATCTCGCTCTGCACGGCCACCCTGGTTTGTCGAGCTCCGCCACAGGCCAGTTACTTCTCCTGCATTCTGGGAAGTTGGAATGCGAGGCCGCGCCGCCCGCGCACACCAGACGACGCTAAACCGCCCCCCATCGTCGCAGCAAGTCTCGATGCCCAGCGCCGCTCACGTTGCGCACGAGGTTCGCGATGCTGAACATCGTCTTGCCGAAGCGCAGCGCCTGTCCGCCCTGTACTCGGCGGTCGTGCGGGGTCGCGAGCCCACCTCGACCCCGCCCCACCTCCGCGTGGCGAGTGGCCGCCTAGCGAAGCCTGCTCTAAGTGCTGAGGCGCCGCAATAGCGGTGCTCGGCGTAGCCCATGGGCAGTATGCATTCAAACCATCCGTCGCCCGGTCGTCAGCCGAGTTGGGCCTGCGAAGTGGTCGCGAATGAGGTGTCTGTCTCCTGGGATCCTCCTGAACATGGTTTTCGCGTCGGCCAACTCCCTCCAATGTCTGACTTCACGTTCGCGCGTTTCTTGTCGGGGCAGCCTGGCCAGGGCCATGGCGCAGCCCCTCCTCGAGGCTGCAGTCTGTCTCCACGTGCTCGAGCGCAACATCTCGATGATATGCCGCGGCGCCGCCCCAGGAAACCAACGGCGAAGCAGACGCTGCAGGGGCTCGTTTCCCCCGCCTTGGAACGTCGCCTCGAGGAAAGGCTGGCGCCGTTCCATCCAGTTCGCGTTGGACTCTGGCACGCAATTGGCGCCGTCGAACCAAATCGCTGTCCACTTCCGCAGGTCATCCGGCATGTCCTGGTACTTCTGCATCGCCGCAGCCCTCTGCGCGCCTATGCCACCTGGCGGAAGGCCCATGCCGCTTGGGCCCCCCTCCCCCTTGCCGCATTTGCTCTCGACCGTGGTCTTGCCGTTGATCTCTTCGCCCATGCCCCAGTAGAAGGTGGGGGATTACCCGGAGGGGGGGGGGGGGGGGCCTGCGGCATTTCCGGGATCAGCGTCGCGAGCTCGAAGAAGTCGTAGCACACCTGGCCTAAACCGACCTTCCCGGCTGCTTGCGGCAACCCCCGCCTGCACAGTCCTGCCACGTCCGACAAGTCCTCGTCGTCGTTCTGCGCCAGCCTGTCGCGCCCAAACCATTGGTGGCCCAGGCTCGCCTCCATCGCCCCGCGCCGCGGGCAATCTGCCGCGCTCTGGATCTCTCGCCGATGCCGAGTTGCAGGCGCCGAAGGGGCCCCCGACCATGCTGCGCGCACGGCTCCTCGTCGTTTTGCTTCCAACGCCAATGTTATTTTGCGCATCGCTCTATGCCAGATGCATTTTGAACCCGTCGCTTCAGGGGCGTGATCAATAATCCGACTGCGCTGCCATTGTCGAATTTCTTACGGCCCTCGCATCCTTTGGGGGGGTCGGAGATCCGCTTGCCTTCGCGCGTCTTGCAGCGCGCCGGGCTCGCAAACCCCCAGTCGACATGGGCGCGAGGGTCGGGGCAGCCAGGGGCCCTGTGCGCGACGCCCAGGTCGGCTTCTGTTGCAGCCTTTGCCGCGCTGCTGCCCATGCTCCCCATGGCGTCGCCCCAGTCAGCCGACCCCCCCACTGCCGGGCCGCGTGCCTCTCAGCCAGGTCCGCCGTGCCATCGAACATCGGATCCATGAACTCCTGCTTGCTGCGTCGCCAGGTAGCGCGTAGGCGAGCTACGTTCTCCGGGGGTAGCCAGCCGCAACTCCGGCCAAACGCCGCAGCTTCACCATCGCCGTGTCAGAGATCCCAGAGACAATGCCTCCGCGCCCTGCCCGCGCATGCACTCCTGCTCCCCATGATAGCGCGGCCTTGGCTCCAATGCCTTGCCGCAGAGCCCGTGACCTTGATTCAGGCTTCTTTGCCTTATGAAGATTGCCCTTCTCGATCGTGAGCCGCACCCTGCTACCCGCCAACTCGCGGCTTTAGGTTACGAGCAGGTGGTTTCGGCTCCATGCGCAACTTCAGAATGCACTTGTCCAGCGCCTTCTGCGCGCCCGCAGACGTTGCGACGAAGTGCGGCTTCTTGGCCCGCGCGAAGGCCCTCAGCTCCTCGCTACGATTGCAGAGGTAAGCCGTCGCATTCCAAAGGCTCCCTGCGGGGTCCAAGTTGTGGCCAATCCATTGAAGGGGCGCGTCGTCCATCAACCCACGCGGTGTCCTTCAGGTCCTTCAGGCTGCGCAACTATTGGAGAACACCGAGCAACGTCGTCGCGTGGCTGCATCCAGCGTGTACGCCCTGGTAGACCTGCGCTACCAGAATGGCTCCCAAACGCCCCGATGCATCTCGGCTGCGAGTACTGCATGATGAGGCGCCAAGCCAGTCTCAGAGGGTAGCCCACAGCTCGTGCTGCACGAAGAAGGGCTCCATGCCAAATCGCCTCCTAGCACTTCGCCATATCCACTAGCACCGAGATCGCGTGCTGGCCCGTCATCCTAGCAATTCCCGCCGTCATGTTAAGCTCGAGCGCGCTGTCGGAAGACGTTATGCCACTGCCGCTGCCCCCGAACACAACACCCAGGCGTTGCTGCTCCCATTGCGCTGACAGGTCGCGTCTGGCTCTGCCCCGCCATCTTGACATCGCGTGAAAAGATCGGCGAGCCGATGCCCACCGTCAGGTTTGCCCAACCGCACTATCTCTGAGACCATGCGATTCGTTGGCCAAGCCCCCAGCTACTCGCACTTGTCGAGAGCCCCTGCCACACACTGAAGGACGATCCGCGGCACTCACGCGGGTGAACAAAAAATGGGCTTAACCCCGTCTTCTCAGGGAACTGCCCAGCCACCTTCCAAAAATCTTCAGCTGGCAGCTGTGGCAAAGCACCCCAGTATCCGAAATCGCAGGCTGCTGAAACACATCATCCTTATGTTCGCGCCATATATCCAGCCAACCAAGCAGACAAGCCTCTACCCTTCAAAAGGTTGGGCACCGTCGCCAGCATCCACGAGCTCTTGAACCTCATTAACTTTAAATCGCCGAAAAGCTGCACTCGCGCCTCTAGCGAGCGCTTTTGCAACCATTGCTTCCAATCTTCTCTCGATCTCTCTTCTGCAACTTGTATTATTGCACCCGCGCCTGCTCTAAAGCGGTGTCGACTTGCTCCTGGAAGTCCTGCGTCGCCAGAATCTGATAGCCGTGCTCGAGGGTCCTGCGCGCTTCAGACGCTAAAGACTTCCATGTACGGTGTGCTTTGCCCATCGCGTCCGCGAGGGCTGTGACACCCACCAACCTGTTGGCCACCTTCCCGACGTTCGCTTCGGAATTTTTGATTGGGGGCAGGATCACTCGCGCCCCCATCGATCGAAGATGCCTCATCCACCTAGCACACTTCATCCATGCCACATCCTCCTCCGCGACTTGCCCCGAATGCGGCCCCGCCGTGGGTGACGCCAGCGTCTTCTTGACAAGCTTCCGGCTGGGGTCGGCCTGCGCGTAGCCTGCCTATTCAGTGCCCACTATATCGTGCAAATCCAGAACTTCACCCATGAAAGGCCCCCATCATGATGGCCCACTGCCGCGCGAGCTACATTCGTCACCTTCCCATTTCCTCAATCAGCGATTCCCCGGCGCCACATCCTGAGCAGCCTCCGCGCCCGGGCGCCGGCGTTGCTCAGGGCGGCGCGCTGCTGGATAGGAGGGGGGACGACGCATTTGTTCTGGGGCGACAGCGACTGCGCCGAGCCCGTCCGGGCAACCAGCGGGGTCGACCAATGGCGCCCGTTGTCGCCGGCCTTTTTCGCCATTGCCGCGGCGGGGGCCCTGGGCGAGACCAACGCGAGGCTCCAAAATCTGTCCCCAGAGTATCGGGTGTTCTCTTACCTGGACGACATCATGGTCTACGCGCCTCCAGCGCACGCCGCCGCGGCGGCGCAACTGGTTCCCGAAGAGTTCGCTCGCCTTGGCCTGTCGACCAACCCCGACAAGACGAAAGCTTGGGCAGCCGACCGCGGGGCCCCGCTGCCAGCTGCAATCGCCGCCTTCCGGGCTGACAACCTGCTCTGCCTCGGGAGCGCCGCTCCCTGGCTAGACCAGCAAGAGGACAGGGTCCCGGTCCACGCCGGAGCCGACGGCGCCGCGGCTGTGGCCCGCGCGCGGGCTATCGCCGCGCGGCTTCGGGAACTGAGAGCGGCCGGCCCTTCAGCTGAGACCACATGCACACTCTCGTGCACCTACGGGCGGGGATGCGTCGCGCACCACCTCAGGGCGAGCTTGCACGCGGGCTGGGTGCATGAGCTCGACGACGTGCTGTTCACCTCACCGCGGTGCCCCTGGACGACGCGCGGCGCCTGCGAGCCACGCTGCGCCTCTCCGACGGAGGGTGCGCTATCCCTTCCGCCGCTCAGACCACCCCGGCCGCGTGCGCCGCCAGCTGGGCCCTCTGCCTGCACGACGTGGCCACCTGCCTGAGGGTCAGCACCCTAGAAGAGCTTCGCGCCCGCTGCCCGCGCACCTTCCAAGCCTTCGCCCAAGCAGAACAGGCGCTCCGGGGCGCTGGCGCGCTCGGGGAAGAACCGCTAGACCTGCTGGACTACATGCGGGAGCCGCAGCACAAGCGGCAGGTGCACTGGGGGAAAGCCGCCTCGGCGGCCAGCAAGAAGCGACTCCTGGGCACGCTGCTGGACGAGGACGGCCGCCTCTCGCTACGCTCGGCCGGAGGAATGGGGGCGGCGGGGTCCTTCCTGCTGCCCCGACACGCCGGCGACGCCGCGCAGCCAGACACATACTTCCTCGCGAACCTGAAGATGCGGCCGGACATGCCCGTCTGCCCTGAGGGGGCCCTGTGCCAGCACAGGAGCAAGACCACTGGGCGACTTTGCAACAAGCCGCTCGACCGGAAAGGGCGGCGCGCCAGAAAGTGCGAAGTGGGGGGGGTATCGGAACGACCGACGCAACCGGCTGCGGGACTGGCACTCCAAGCGACACTCAGCGCTCACCGGATACGCTGCCCCCACCGAGCAACGCGTGCCCGGGTGGGATCGTCGCCTCCCCAATGGCCGCCTCGAAGAGTCCAAGCTCGACGTGGCCACCGTCGACCGCAACACCGGGCGCCGCATCTTTGTGGATTGGGCCGTGACCTGCGCACACTCAACCTATGCCCCGCGCAGGCTGGCCCGGCCCCACAGGAGTAGCCTGGCAGCGGCCCAAGAGGTCGACAGCAAGAGGGATCGGTACCCTCCGCGGCAGGGCCTCGAGCTGGCCCCCATGGTCTTCGAGGCCGGGGGGCGGCCCTCCGAGGAGGCGGCGGCCTTCGTGCGCAGCTACGGCGCCGGCCTCGGGGAAGGCGAGCGGGGGGGACTCCTCGGCCGCTTGTGGGGCCCTCCGGCTCCACCAGCAGACCAGCCACCGGCACGACCACCAGCGACCACCGCCAGTAGACCACCTCCAGCCCCGCCAGCAGACCGGCCAACAGCAGACCCACCACCCAGCACGACCACCGCCTGCGCGGCCGCCCGGCAGCACGACCGCCGCCAGCACGGCCACCACTACGACCACCCAGCACGACCCTGTCGCCCATCACCGCCCCCCGTCCCCCGACCCCCTCCCCCACCCGCCCTTCCCCTGCCCTCTCCTGCCTCCCTTTCCCCGTCGGGCCGCCCCTGCTGCAGCCAGTCGGCTCCCCCGCCTCCTCCTGCTGCTGCTCCTTCTCCCGAGGACGGCTCGAGGCTCGACGGTTCCTTCGGCGGCGGACTCGGACTCGCCTCGCACGCTTGGCCCTGGTGGCCACTCGTCCCAAAGGTGGACGTGTGCCGGGGCCGCGGAGAAGGAAGGGAGGATGGGGGGGAGGGAGGGAGGGAGGAGGAGGAGGAAGAGGAGGAGGAGGAGGAGGAGGAGGAGGAGGAGGACGAGGAGGAGGAGGACGAGGAGGAGGATGGGGGGGCCCTGGAAGACTGCGGAGGCCGTGCCAGGCAGCACTTTCGGCATTCTGCCGCGTCTCAACGTGCCAGGGGGGCACGGTGGCGGATCTTCTCCATGGCGATGGTGATCGGGGAACGAACAATCAAGGGAGGAAACTGGGCAAGAGGGACAAGGAGGAGCATGGAAAGGAGGGTGAGCACGAGTACGACAGAGGAGTGCTCCGGGCCCGAGGGCCTGGCACAGCCTGGACGGCCCCCATGGAAGACCATCGGGGACACAACATTGCGAGGGGTCAGGGGAGGAAAAACACCCGGACCAGACACTCGGCGTTTACTAAACGGCCCTGCGTGTTCACAGCCTCGCCATTGATTCATTCTTTGGGCGCGTTTACTAAACGACTTCGCGTGTCGGGGTATGGGTGTGGATTTCTTGCCTTCTAAACAATGACATAAAGATAAACTCGGAGGTCCGCGCGGATTTCTCGGATCGGCGCTGGAGACCCTTGGCGGCGCCTCCGGCGCCGCCTCTGGCGCGCTCCGCGCGCCAAGGAGGGGGGTCCCAGCGCGGATCCGAGAAATCCGCGCGGACCTCCGAGTTGTTATGTTTATGTCATTGCTTGTTCCCTTAGGTGATCATCTACCATGTCACGTTGATGATGCTGTGGATCACCCCTCTCACCAACCGGATGCAGAGGATAGGCCTGGTCGCCGCCCAGGTGATGAACGCGTGGAATGCTCTGGACGTTTTCGTGGTCAGCATCTGCGCGGGCGTCCTGGAGATCCGCCAGCTCGCGCTCTTCATCATTGGGACCAAGTGCGACGCGTTGGACGCGATAGTGGAACAGTTCCCCCCCATCGTCGCGCGCGTGCCTGGCGCGGTGGACGGCAGGGTCCACTGCTTCGACGTGCAGTCCGAGCTCAAGGAGGGCTTCTTTGTACTGCTCGCGGCCGTCCTTGTTTCCACCGTTGTCGGCCACTTGGTCTTGCACAGATGCTCTGTGGCCTTGGCCTGCGACGGCGAGGACCAGTGTACCCCGCCCACCATGGTCGAGGGAAGTTGTGTTGAAGATGATTTGGATGCTTCTTTCCGTATGGTATTTGACCGTGGTAGTTTGCAGGGGCCGCCGATTGTTGGCGGTGTTGCGTAGTTCTTCGCGCCGACAGTTTGCTTGAGCATGCTCCAGCTGGCTATCGCCTCCTTCCCTGTGATCGACCACAAGACTTCGATCGCGACGTGGTTGTTTCATCCCCGATTTAAACACGTTCCCACTCGCGATTCTAGTGTCTCCCTCTAAGGGGTGATGAGATAGGGGAGCAAACGATGACATAAGCATAAACTTAAGTCGGGCGTGTCCCTCTCCAGGAGGAAAATGCAAACATAGTACAAACATAGTCTGGGGACGATGTGTTTAAAGTATTGTTTGGCTATTTGGGGGCATTATTTGGGCATTGTTTCCGCCCATGACCGACCCGGCCAGGGCGGACAATGTGTAAATGTTGCATCGGTTGGGCGAACACTGTTAGAGATTAAAAAGTTCGTTTTGAGAACCAGTGTTTCTCTAACGTGTAGTGGGTTATGACAAAAGGCTCTCGGAGGTTCGCGCGGAGTCCTCGGAGCGGCGCTGGAGGCCTCCGGCGCCTCTGGCGCGGGGCCCCTTGGCGCGCCAGAGGCGCGCGGCGGAGTGGGGTGTCCAGTGCCGCTGCGAGGCATCTGGGCGGGCCTCCGAGTTTGCCTGTCTATGCTATTTGTTTGTCCTCCATATGAGAGGTGATTGGCCTATTTTCCACCACCACCACCACCATAAGTTGGAGGGGGGGAGGAGGACGAGGAGGAGGAGGAGGGGGAGGAGGAGGACGAAGAGGAGGAGGAGGAGGAGGAGGACCCCCTCCCCCTCCAACTGGTGGTGGTGGTGGTGGTGGGAAACAGGCCCATCAAGAGGAGGAAGAGAATCGGAGGTTGATAGACCTCCTGCCCTGACGCGTCGATTAGCGAATGGGCCGTTTTCGGTTCGCGAGGGGGCGTCGCGGCCGTCGTTTTTTTGCGGGTCCAGGTCCGTCGGTTTCGGTCCTGGGCCGTTTCCGCTAAAGGGTGTTTTTTTTAGAGGGAGTTTTGTCCACCGCCGAGAGAACGGAGCGGGCGGGTTGGATGGAGAGGGAGGTGCGGTGGGAAGTGTGGAGGGAGGGGAGGGGAGGGGGGGCGGAACGAGGGGGAAGGCGGGGGTATGAGGCGGCGGGGGATGTTGACAGGGCTCAGTTCGATTCCTCCGCTTCGATTTGATTTGATTTCGATTGCTTCCGATTACGGTTCGATTCGATTCAATTTCGGATTCCGATTTGGGCTCCGAATTTTCCCTACCTAGGCTCTGCCTAGAGGGTTCTTACTCTCTTTCTTAAAGGGGCCGGGCAGTGGGGCTCGCCCCGGGCGGTTCCCCCAGCATCCACCCCGCGGTTCCCCCAGTTACGTCCCCTTAGCTTAGTGTTGCTTATCTCATCTTAGCTTAGCTTATGTCATCTTAGCTTAGCCTAGCTTCATCTTAGCTCAGGTTTATATTAGCTTAGTTTACCTTCATCTTAGCTTCGCTGAGCTTTAACACAGCAGCTCACAGCATAGCATAGCATAACGTAGCATAGCATAGCGCAGCATAGCATATCATATCATAGCCCAGCATAGCATACCATAGCGCCGCATAGCATAGCATGGCATAGCATAGCACAGCACAGCACAGCGCAGCACAGCACAGCACATCACAGCGCAGCATAGCATAGCATGGCATTGCATAGCATAGCATAGCATAACATCACATAGCGATGCATAGCATAGCATAGCATAGCATAGCATAGCATAGCATATCATAACATAGCATAGCGCGCAGCATAGCATGGCATAGCATAGCATAGCATAGCACAGCAACTAATGCTGCTTTCCGAGGGGCTCCAACTTCTAGGTAAGGTCGCACTGGGGTAATTTGATCGAGGCCTAATTACTAGCTTGCCGATTTCCGCCGATTCGTCTTTTCCGATTCGGATACCGATTTCCGTTGATCCGATTAGGTTCGATCGTCGATCCGATTTATCGATGCGATTCTGGGAGCGCCTGTGTTGAGGCAGGGGTAGGGAATTAGTGGATGCGGAGGATGAGGAGGAGCTTGGCATCGCTCGGAGGTGAGCATTTTGTCCCGGCAAGGACCACCGAGTAGAGTATTGGATTGTCTTGTGGAACAAGAATCACGCGAAACCGAAAAGTACACAGGGAATGGACGTTCGAGCGATATCGAGGGAGGAGGCGAAGTTTGAGGTGTTGGTCGGACTCGGCATTGCAGTAGTCTGCGCGCCGTCTGGCAGAAGAAAGTTCACCCCGAGGCCCGAGGGGGGTTCAATTGTAGTAGCCGCCACACTCCCCAACGAAGGGAGACCCAGCCGTCAGCCCCAGGCGGCTCAAGGTGCAGAAACAAGAGGGCGCAAGACGGCGCGAAGCGCTAGAGAGGAGGACTATTTGGGACTGTTTGACTAAGCACATGGTGGCATGCGTGGCAACCCCACCAGACAAGTGTCACATAGGACCTTCGGCGGACGAGAGAGAAAGCCAAGCAGAAGCTATCCGTGTGCAACGGCTGCGCACTCCCGCTGCCGAAAGACAGCACACCTTCACACATGAGCAGCAGCTGAGCCTCCTCCCGAGGGGCACTACTCCCTCGGGCGACCGCTCCCCCCCCACGCGCGCCACGGCAGAGGACCCCGACCATGGGAAGGATGGGTGACGATCCACGCCCGGGCCCGGGCTCAGAGGAGGAGGAGGAGGAGGAGGAGGAGGAGGAAAGGGAGGAGTCGGAGGAGGAGGAGGAAAGGGAGGAGGCGGAGGAGGAGGAGGAGGAGGAAAGGGAGGAGGCGGAGGAGGAGGAGGAAAGGGAGGAGGAGGAGGAGGAGGAGGAGGAGGAGAAGGGACCCCGCCCACGCCACCCACGGGTGACGATCCACCAGTAAACCTCCCGTATGGGGACCTCGACACCGCCCGAGCCCTGGCGGCGTACCAGGTGGACCACCGCAAAGGTGCCGCAGGCGAGACGTGACGCCGACGGTGGGCGGGCTCCAGTTTCCCAGGGTGCCGCGTGCGTTCCGCACCAGGCGAGAGATTGGATCAGGAGGAGGAGGCGGGAATCAGATGTCGTCTGCGGCAATTCCATCCCTCGCATTCGCCCCTGGGCGCCGCGCCCGGCCGCGCACGCCCTCCGGCGGGCCGGCTTCAGTGCGCCACCCGCGATCTGCGGCGCGCGTACCACGACAAAGCGAACAGCTGGGAGAGGGGTCGTCATCCACCTGTAGGTGAACATCCAGGAAACTACAGCCAGCAGCTGGTGAACTACAAGCCGGACATTTACGACATCGACTACGAAACCGACCCACTTAAGTGGAGAGTCGCTGGCAAGTATGCCGAGGCCATACACGCACAGAGGATTCCCAACATATGCACAGCTGGATCCTACGAGGACCACAGTTTGAGTTACTCCCAGGGCCCTTGGCACAGCAGCGAGGACCACCTGCGGAGCTGCTTGGCCAACAAGCTGCGCACCCGCCGCTGCGAGCGGGGCCAACGGCGGAGCTGCAAGGGCCGCCTGAGGAGCGACAAGCGCCAACACTTGAGCTACGAGAACAGCCAGCCAGATGACAATAATACGCCGAAGTACTTGAACGCGCTTGGCCTACGAGGCCCGGTGGCGCAGCTACGAGAGGCGCCGGCAGAGCTGCGAGGACCCGGGAGCTGAGCTACGAGGACCGGTGGCACAGCCACGAGAGCCGCCAGAGACAGCTCAGCTACATGGGCCACCGGGTGAGCTACGTGGGCCACATCACGAGTTACGCGGGCCAAGGGCAAAACTACGAGAGACTCCCGCAGAGCTACCATGGCGACGAGCTGGACTGCAAGAGCGACGAGGGCGACCAACAGAGCTACGAGAACCACCCGCAAAACGAGGACAACAAGAACAAGACGAAGTTCTTGAACGCGCAACCCTACGTCAAGGGGTGCCAGCCCGAGTAGTCGGGCCTGAAGAACCAGAGGCGCCCGAATAGCCTCGCGGCTACTCTTGCCGCGTGGGATGCCACCACGGAGCGTTGGGCTTTGAGATCGGGACCGATGGCCATCAGCGTCAAGCGTACCAGCGTCGATCACAGCGGCAAGTGCCCCAAGAAGCGGCTCGCCGTCACGTGCCAAACGAAGACCCGATCCGGCCAATGTCGTGACCCGCTGGAAAATGAATGCGCGTTCGAGCGCTTACACGACTTCACAGCCTCTGAAGGCCAGCCACGGGTTATTCAGTTTTTCTTCAACATGTTCAACGAAGAAGGTTTGTTCGACGTAGTCCACGGTCGCATGGAGCAGTGGTTACGGTGAGACCAGCCTACCAGAAACTGCTGATAATGATGCTCCAGCACGCTACCCTTCTCCATTCCGACAGAATGTGCACCGCAGCGATACGGACAAGGGCATTTTATGCATGTGCCACGTCTACAACGCTACGGACAGGGTACTCCGTGTACGTCTACGGTCTACGGCGGGTACATCTGCTTCGGCTGAGCGGACCCGCCGCTCATCCCGCCCCCCTTCCTCGGGGGCCTCAGAACAGAGGATGGTTTGCAAGGCGGCCTCCCTCCCTTCAACTGCTCTTCGGAACCTACCGTGGTATCGTCGCGGTTTGGACCCCGCGCCGGCGCGTGGGGCAGCGCCGCGGCGGGACGGGGACGGTCGATGCCGTTGCGTAAGTAAGGCGGAAAGGGGTGACGCCCGTGCGCGCGAGCCGTGGACTAGAACATGCGATCGCCGAGTCGAATTCACGCCTGCATAGCGGAGGAGATGGCGCGCGGTCGGGCATACTTGGAAGCATTCCCCTTAAGATTCAGGTGAGAGTCCAGCTGTAGAATTCTGCTGTTCTCGCAGTCGCAGTCGTATTCGCAATGACAGTCGCAGGAGCAACGGCTTTACGACCCAATGGAATACTAAGGATTCCTAGGGATTCGTAAGGCATCCTTAGGCATCCTTAGGAATCCCTTGGGATCCTTAGGAATCCCTTGGAATCCCTTAGGGAGTCCTAAGGATTCCGAGGGAAGCCGAAGGATTCCTAAGGATTCCTGCGGATGCTTAACTATGCCTACG